TTCCCTAAAACCCTCTAGGGTATTCTAAGACAGCATGGTCTCACTTCCCCATGCGGGTCGTTGATAACGGCAATGTGGGTCAAGCGTATCTGCCACATGGTTTCTGATTTTCTGACCCTGATCCTTTAATGTACATGCTTCTACCACTAGTTGGTCAATGTATGTCGCTTTGTGCTCGCCTGTTATGATCTTTTACACATAACCCATGGACGGACTTTGCATTCAAGTTGTGTAAACTTGGTAAAGCATATGCTCTTTGTTTGTCATCATTTCCTTCCTCATGTGTGATATCGCAAACTCTTATGCTACCATTCTCGCAAATCCAGTGTAATACATCTGAATCCAGTCACAGCTAAATAGCCTGCATTATTTCCTTGACATGATATTCTATTTGATCTTAAAGGGACGAGGCGGGGCTGAGGGACTGCCTAGTGGTTAAAGCGCCCGCTCGTCACGCTCCAGACCCGGGTTCGATTCCCCACATGGGTACAATGTGTGAAGCCCATTTCTGGTGTCAGCTGCTTGATATTGGGGATATAACGAAAAGCGGGGTAAAACCATACTCACTCACTCACTCTTGAAGCGACCAAGTTGGGTATATGACAGTACACCGCTCATTTAGCGTATGCACATGCTTTAACCAAGCAATCCGTGTTTCCAAATTGTAACAGTCTCAAACATGAATTCAATGTTTGCCAGATATTAATAGATTGTTTTCTCGACTGTTTGGTAAGTTTCCCATGTGTACCCGAGGATAGGTTTGTATCAAAGCTGCTATTCACAATGTTAGTAAGTCTCAGGATGTTTGCAAGCCTCAAGTGTGTTTATGCAAACACTGTCAGATAAGCTTTCACAGATATATAATGGGATGATCCCTCGATGTAGACATTTGGATTTCCCGTAAATTCCTTTCATGTTGTGCTGTGTAAAAAGGACTGAACGCCAAGCTGCAGTAAAATGTCGATTGTGTCGGCGGTGTGTAAATAATCCAGTCTGGACCAGACAATCCAGTGATCAAAAGCATGTGTCGACCAAGTCAGCAAGCCTGACCACCCGATCCCGTTAGTCGCCTTTTACGACAAGCATGGGTTACTGAAGACCAATTCTAACCCGGATCTTCATGAGGGAGACAAGCATGGGTTTCTGAAGACCAATTCTAGCCCGGATCTTCCCTGGTCTGTCCACACGGGAACCGAAATAGGACGTTCAGAGGGTATAAAGCGAAATCTGTCCAATGAAACTTGTCAACAATGGCAGCAGTGCAACTGTTTCAAAAGTTAATGATATTGCCTCAAAACGACTGCACAACGACAGCCCTGAGTTAAGTCAGAATGTCCTGGGGCGTGGGGTAGCCTAGTGGTTAAAGCGTTCGCTTATTACGGGTTAGATTCCCCACATGGGTGCAATGTGTGAAGCTCATTTCTGGTGTCCCCCGCCGTGATATTGCTGAAATATTGTTAAAACCGGCGTAAAACTAAACTTACTCACTCAGAATGTCGTGACGTGAAGGCCACCGCACCTTCCAACTAATGTCTCCCCACTTGTTTGAAGCTTAGATTGAGGGATCTTTTTATAATAACTTAGGCCACTATGATGCACAAACAACAGTCTAGGGGATAAAACAAACAACTCTGAGGATAAGGCGATAGGCAACTGAGTGATTAGGACGAGGGAGAGGCACAGAAAATACAGGAAACCCGACTTCTAAATCAGGACCACTGTCGTCTGCCTGTTCGTAAACGCCCACCCGGGCGGTAACGGAACTCGCCTATACTTCAAGCTGAAAGAATTCGAACGTGTTTTCCAAACAAACCGTCGCCCAACTGACTGAGAGCTGACCTCTCCTTACTGCTGCAAGTTAAAGACAACGTTAGATAACTGAAATATTTAGGTTAAACAAATAAACTGACATTCCTGCCTGTTAACAGCCAACAATACAAAAACACTGAACGGAAAACTCTTGAATAACATCACATTACAAGGAGATAATCTCTTAAACCTATTCATTGTCAGAGTAGCAGTTGTCTAGACCCGTGAGTATGCCTTTGTGCTATTGCGATAGTAAATTCCTACGTATATTATATCAGCAAACTTTAAATAACCAAACTGCAACTTACATCATCTTTACATCATTTTTTTGGAATTATTTTTTATTATAATTAGTTCTGTTGTATTTGGTAATGTCAATTGTGTTGAGTTGTTTTATTCTTTTGGTAAATTGATATTGTGGCAACTTTGTAACTGAGTATTTTGTATGTAAACGCTTATCAACGAATTCTACCATAATTCTGCCCAAACAAATAGATTATAAAGCTACCAATTTTTAATGAAAGCATGTGCAACATGGCAACTTTTCTCAGCATCATCCCGTCTTCTGTAGAGATGATGCTGGAAGTGTCCAAGTTCGTCACTTTGAACTTCTGACGAGTATTGTGACTGTGATACACTTCACGCTTGTGAACACGTATCACAATACGTACCATAGAGGACGCACAACAGCGAGTAAACAGTCGCCGAAAATAACGTTTATGTCAATATTCCAGAATGCCATCTTGAGGAAACATAAGTTAATAGTAACCATGTCATCAGAAGAACTTTACCGAGCGCGCTGACAATTTCATCTTGCCTCGCCGAACCAAACTTAGTAGTCGTTGTCTGATTTGTTAAATCCGTTCGTCCGCCTCGCGTTTGATTGGACAGTCATAGGTCGCTCCAAGGTTAGCTGACGCGACCTTCGAGTTTCTACTAGGGTTTGTTAGACTCGGTATAGCAGAGTAACGAATAATACTGAGTCCAAGGTCTGTGTATCACTCGGAAGCAATTGTGTAGGAAATAGCATTCAGAATCGTTCGAGTACAAACGTTTTCGACGTAAAAGTTCAAACGGTATGTGCAAATGTCAACTTGGTAAGCTGTGTTCTGATTGGCCAATTCAAAAGGTTAGCTGACGCGACCTTCTACTAGGGTTTGTTACACTCAGTATGGCAGTGTAACGAATAATACTGAGTCTAGTTTACTTAGCCTGTACAACAGACAGTCGTCGCAACGGGATAGCTACACATTGAAGTAGTAAGATGTGAAGGGCGCCTCTGCCATCGTCAATTTGCGCATCGTCTCTCGTCTGATGTGTAAACGTGTTACTTGCAGGTGTCGTGTCCAAATCATATCCGACTAAAAGAATCCTCACAATTGTGAGATCAAATCAGTAACCAATGGTCCCGTTCTCTATTGAAGTTTTATAGCGACAGTTATACGCATTCAACTGGGTCGTACCTTGTGTGTCTCTGGCTGTTACTAGACGTTATTCCAAGAAGCCTTTGACAGTTTAGATTGCATTGGAGCCTTTTACCCTACTTATATAGGACACACAATGCCATGTTCAATGGGAGACATCACGCTCACTATTCCTCTCAGAATGAACACCTCCTAACATTTCACACTCAATATGACTTCCTGGTTCTTTACACACAGAGGCCTTTGAAGGTGTTAAATTTACCATGCATTATGTATAGATACGCGGCCTGGTGAACCCGGAAGACGTACCTGTTTTTGTATAGTCTTCGGCCATATTCTAAAAATAAATGTGGTTATGGGGTAGCCTAATGCTTAACACGTTCGCTCGCCGCTCCGAGGTCTCGGGTTCGATTCCCCACATTCGTACGCAACAAATAAACAACAATACTAAGTTGCACTGGGTTCCACTTGGTTCTGTTTGGGGGCGGTTGCATTGCGTTGAATTGGGTAAAATGTTGGGTTGCCCGGGGTTTCACTAATTGCAATACGTTTCACTGAGTTGCACCGTGTTGTATGCTTGTTTTGAATATAACCCACACCATCTATCGATTTCAGAAGTAAAGTTAGTTTGTTGTTTAACGCCGCACGCAGCAATTCAGAATTAACTTGTTTGAGTGATTTTAGAAGTTGGAACGCACAATACTGAACACGCTTTATGGATAACAACTTCTTTATTAGAAAGAAGTTGTTATCCATAAATTTTGTTATATATTATCATTCAGAATTAACGATTTTCTGTGCTGGGATAGTAATTAATGCTCTTTTGGTTTGCCTGCCATGAGTTTGTGGTTACCTCACTAACTTCAGGAGCAGATATTCAGTATTATTACCCACGTGGTCAACGTATGGGTAGTTGCATACTAATCTCGTACGTCACACGTGTGTCGTATCGCGTTGACCTGTGTCGTAACGACTTGACCTGAGATTCTAACGATTTGATTGGATAACTGATGACCTCTCAATGAGGTCACATTCTGACGTAACCATTTTTTCATTCATAACAAACACGTGAATTCATTCATTCTACAACTTAAATGCATTGTGGGAATGTAAACATCGCGAACGTTGCCGTGTCGCTGTTTAATTGTGAGTCGAACTGAGACATTATATCCGTCGAAAAACATAAACGCAATGTTTCCACCAGTGATGTTAGCCGAATGAAGCAACTGCAAACCAAGAAACGGGGTGCTACGGAGTAGTTTACTGTAGGAGGCTGTACGAGGCGATGACAACTGACATGCATCGTGACGTCGGTTACCAAGGCATTGACGTCATTACAGTGACGTCATGCAAATATTGTACTACAGTACAAAACTCTTCCGCAACCTCTTTATGAAACCGGTTTCGGTTTGAAACCAAAATATTAACAAAAATACGCTATTTTGTCAATTTAATGCATGTAAGACGTGGGTAATAAATAAAATACCACACTCGGTCTCATTACATACGAATTATACGAAACTCGTGACCTTCCTATGTTATCTGACCTCGCTTTCGCTCGGTCAGATACCATAGGAAGGACACTCGTTTTCGTATAATTCGTATGTAATGAGACCTCGTGTAGTATTCTCTATTTACGTACCTATGTTAAGTCACTTTTTAGTGCAAGTGATTTATTCGTTACAGTTACGACTCTTATTCCATCTAATATTATATTTCTAACTTGATTTATTTCTCTTTCAGATAAATTCTTCCACGTTTCATGAGAACCCGATCTTTGGTTAAAAAAGGCAAGTACATCAACTCAAATTCATTTCGGTATATTGAATTTTAAAATTTCTGTAACATCCACACCTCTTCAACAGACTGATTAAAGATGGATGTGATGGGTATCTTTAGAACAAGCAAAACACACCTACCACTTACGTCCTACTGTTCCGTGACGTAAAATAATGCTGGATTCTCATTGGTTTAAAAGACCCTTTTCACAATTGTTAACACTTTATATGAAGCCTTATGAAAACACTGATCTATCGACAGCCTACAAGTCGCTGAATATAACACGGCTACTTATAACCCATTTGAATATTGTATTCATTCGAATATGCTGATGTTGCTGGAATAATGCTAAAAGCGGCGTAAAATTAAACTCACTCACTCACTACACAATGAAGTAAAACACATACTAACGACTGTAACATAAACCATATAATCACCGGTCACAATAATGTGTAGTCTCTTTAATGTGATCTTCTGGAGATAAGATTCAGAAGGTTCGTAGTTACTTCATGTGTATTTGTACGTCACATCTGAGGTATCATATCTACAGTGAGGCTATGTTAAAGTTTCAACACGTGCATATTTAATGTGTTACTCCCTGACTGTTAAAGTCGATAAATACCAACCTGTTGGAAGTCGATAGATACCAACATGTTGGAAGTCGATAAATACCAACCTGTTGGAAGCCAACATGTTGTGATTCCAAAAGACCGGAGTTGGATATTTAGCTGGTTGCACAGTATTACAAGGGTAATGCTATTGTTCAGGGCATTATCATTTGCAGAAGCCCGAGGTCTTCCATGAACTGCCCGACGAAGGATGGCAGTTGAAAAGACCGAGGGCTTCTGCAAATGATAATGCCCTCAAAAATAGCATTACCGTTATTATTGCTAAAATACATGGAATTTGTGTTGAAAAGAAAAAGGAAACAATGAAGGAATTTGACTGTAAGTTTACCCATATCAACTTCTGACGGGGTTGACTGCCCGAATGCAATTACGTCACCGAACAATTCAAGTGAGGTCACAAAAGAAAGTGACGATATTCGACCTTGGCCTTTGACAAGACCATAGCCTGCAACATGTCAAACTATGTCAGTCTTCGGTTTTGGTCCATCAACAGCCTTAATAGTGCACTTGTTAAGGTTAGCACAAACAAGAAAGCCAATATTACCGCTATTTAAGGCGGGAATTCGGGTTGCTTTGACTTGTTTGACCAAGAATATCTGCCAGTCAAAAGCCAATTAATGTCGAATGAACCGTAAGCCCACGCACCCACTATGACGTCACTTGACAACAGAACTGATAGTGGCCCGTCGTTAAGGTTGAGCGGTCCAATATCATTTGCAGCGGCCCGCAAATTTCTGATAATGGGAGGGCCGTTTTATGATAATTCAATGTATTTTAGCTATAATTCCATGTATTTTAGCTATAAGTTAATATAATGTCACAACGAGTCTGTAACGAGTCTGTCTGTCTGTGCTTCTGTTTACCTGTCTGAGTTGGCCATCTCTGTCTCCGTGTTGCACGGGGGACGATGACGGGGGACGGGGGACGGGAATCCGACCAAGCTAAAGCAAGCCTTGGAGGTATACCACATTGGTGAAACCCATGAACATGGGTAGAATAACTTGGAATCATGATCATTGGAAATATGTCATTCAAAGCCACGATCAAAGCATTCTGTCACACTAAATGACGCAATACTATCAAGCAAAGTCCTCGTTGTCGTGAAGGCACTGGTTATGACATGATTCGGCACTTGGTTACTCATATGTTCATCGTCGCTGCTCACTGTCTCAATCCATCTTGCCATAATTATATATCGATCGATGTGACTCAAAGCACACGGACCAAAGAAAACATGGCGTTTTGCCGCGTTGAAGACAGGTTCATATAGGTAGGTCCTCGTCTTCCATTTATGACTGGTCTTATGTAATATGACTAAAAAATATGGTTGTGAAGCAGCAAGAGCAGGATTGTAGCTACAGAACCATGTGGCCCTGAACATGTGAGAAGAGTTTTATGAGCAGCAGGTTGAACATGGCGGTTTCTGATAAAATATAAGTATGGTATTGCCGTAATTGTGTTTGGTTTGCCGAGCGAGTGCAGCAGGTACCATTATGTATGTCCGTTCATTGACACCAGGGTCCGTTTGTGACAATTACCTAAAACTCGCATGGTCGTTAGGTTTGGCTAGGCCTAGGAGTGAGTGGTTCGTCGACCTCTGCTCCTGATTGCCTACATAAACATTCGTGTACCGCGGTATACATACAAGTACTTCTACAACACCTGGCCCGCGTTTCACAAAAGCCTCCTAAATTTAGGAGGTCGTAGCCCATACGACCTTGTTTACGACCCTCTTCCGACCTCCTTTACGACCGTTTGACAAAGACGTCATATCCATGTCGTACGACGCGGTCCTAAATCCATGTCGTACATTGTATAAGAGGTACTTTGTTGCATAGCAACGCATAAAGCGAGACCGAACGGGCACATGCTTATCTTGTTATTCCCAAAGTATTTCAAATAGAAATATAGTTTGAATAACAATGCAAATGTTATGTTTTTAATTCAATGTACAGGTTATCTTATCGTAAAAAAATTATCAATAAATGAATTATTTTGGATTCTATCACTAAATTCCATTGAAAATTACAAGATAAAATGTATAAATCATTTCCATTAATATTATCAGTTTTACTTACCAGGTCCATTTTATTCATATTAAATCCCAATGCTGAATCACTATTAACCTTGTTCAGTTATGGCTATGATCTAACTTGCAATTTAAAATATGGTGTGATACTCTAAATGTCCCAATTTCTTTTAACTTTTATTCAAACAATCAAAACTTTCAAAGAATAAAAACGTATACCCTATATCCACGTATGATATGATATTGAACAAGGCTAAATGTAGGTACTGAAATTGGTTTCATGAAAAAAATATCTGAATTATACGCAAAATATACATCATAGTACTGAAAGTGTAATCAGAAGGGTAGGACGATTGTGTTTAATTTTTTTTCATCCGACCTTCACCTCAAAGATATTGCCTAATATGTACAACAATGTTGACGTGTGACATCACAAGCAATAACCGATTTCTTACAAAATGGCGGCTTTGCTGACAAGCGTACACAGGATTTTGCGAGGACTCTTCCCTTGATTCAGGGATCGTTTGTACATAAATATGAAATGTAAGTATTCAGAGTGATTCTGACTATCTGTGTATTGTTATATGTTTTCTTTGGAAGTAAGAGAAGAAGCCAGAAATGCTGATAATTACCGTTGTCGTTCTGCGTGATTTTGCGTCTGTTATAAGGCGTCACGGTGCACGGAAACTTTGACAAGTTCTTATGAAGTATCAAATCATTGCATTGTATCTATTTTTAATTTCCTCTTTTTTGCTATGATATTCTTTCAATACATATTCTAAATGTATTGAGCCATTCCAAGAAATGAATACCCGGCTGCTACGCAGTATAAATCGGAATTTTTCTTTGTTTACATTACTTTGTACTACAGTAGCGCAGTATTCCGAGCACAGCGTTTGTTTTCACACCCAATATCCATTTGGTATTGGTAACAAAGACCAACTGTGATTTGATTTTGAAATGTATGGGGAATTCAGTGATGCATTTGTCACAGCTGACTATGAAATATACGTGATGTAATAGGCGTCTCAATACCGGCCTTTGCGAGACGTGATTTTGTAAACATTATCCAATATGGCGGAAAGCGCACTTCGGCGTTCGTGTAAGTATATTTTCGAAAACATCCAAACCGATTCTAGGTTCATGAAAAACTGATTTCAGTGATCATTAATATGTTATTTTTGAAATTCAGTACTCCCAGTAATTATCCGATTTTCACATTTGAAAACATACTATCTACACTGTACAGCAAATAATGCTGTGAATCGTGATTTCGTATTGTGTATAAATTGGCGACATTTACGATGAAGCCTATTTTGAAAGGTTATTTAAGCACTTTAGCTTAATCTGAGAAGAGGAAGGACATATGTCCCTGTGGCACCCAGGTCCAAGTCCAGATACACGGCCAGAGCACTAGCGGTGTCACGGAGTATTCTTGACACACTAGCTCGGGATACTCCATGGAGATCCCCGATTTCACTGAGGAAAACCCCTTTTGCCAAATACCTCTGTGTACACAACACTTGCAGGGAGGTCGGAATAGCATGTGAACGCCTTGTAGGTTTGTTCAGTTGGGGCTCTAACTTTCTGCACAGTTAGAAAACAACATGAGTGTCGAGCACGTTCGACATGTCTCAAAATTTCTCAGGTCTTCTTTGTAAGCGCGTTAATCACTTGCAGTACCATAATCGTTGACGCCATCTTTTTAGTGTTTACGACCTCCTAAAGCATTTACGACAGGTCAATCGGGGTCCTAAATTTTGGGCTGTTTACGGCACAGTGTAAAATTACGAGGTCTTTGTGATGCAGGGTAAAAAAGTAAGTTCATCCTGCTTTACGAGGTCGACCGGTAAGAGGGCTAAACCATCGAATGTCGGTCCAAGGTGAAGGTCATCTCAGGGCAGGTTCTCATAGACATGTTAATTGAAGACCGTTCGCTCTGAACTTCCTGGCAACTAGAAGACTTATGCCCGCTTGTGGTAATGCTTGGTTGATCCCGCAAACCAGATGACAAGAATTGTACCTGAGGAATGTTCCCACAATCAGTGCCAACTGTTGGAATGGGTCTGTTGGCGGGTCTTTGATTGTTGCTGACATGATTGCAGACGTTAATCAAGAGCATCCCTTAAATATTCAGTGGGGCTTAGATTTGGTGACTTTGGATGCTGTGGTTTTTCATCAAGGTCGGTGTCAGTCTTGCCTTGTGAGATCGGGCTATGTTGTGTTGGGAAATGCCATTTGCTAGTTGCATAATGGGAAAAAGATGTGCTAGAGCAAGTCATCCGTGAAACGCTGTGTCGTTAAAATTATCTTGACGTGTATCAAGTCTGTTCTACTGGTATGGGAGATAT